TACATATTCTAAGACATGAATAAACAATAATAAACAGTGAAAGTCTGAAATTAATTCCTAAAATAGAGAAATTCCCTACCTTTCTTTCCTAATCTGGAAAAAGTGACTAATAATTCCAAACGGCCCAGCCTAACCACCAAATAATAACCTCCAGTGATTAGATTAATAAGATGATAATAGTAAAAATGATTATGAAACTCCCACACGAAATAGGGAGACAAAATAGCTATCCAACCAATTATGAAGTATAAGAAGAAATAGAAACAACCATATTCTGTCAATAACTCTCCGTATCAGCTCATAGTCAACTGCCATACCCAGAAGCTCCTATCTATAAATTCTTAGAATGAACATGACAACCGGGTGGAGTTAAAAAATTAATTAGGATCTCTATTACAAAAAAGAGGAAAAATAGAAAACCAAGTTTCCACCCACAGATGTTATCCAAAGAACACACTTAGAAGTATATGAACATTTCCTATAATCTATAATGACAAATCACGGCCTAATTTAATATATCGAAGTAAGACTACAAAAGTGAAAAAATTAATCTTTAAAATAAATTCAAAATAAAAAAGAAAAGAAAAAGCAACCAACTCTGATGATTAGACGCAAAAATCAAACGAAAGAACAGAAGACAATATAGATACGCTATGCCAAATCTACCCAAAGACAAATACAACCAAAAAATCCTCCTAAGTCCGAATCAGACATAAGATTTAGTAACAAAAAAAAGAACCAGGAAAAAGTAAGCTATGAATCCACAAACATTCCAACCAAATGCGTCTATCTCTAAACCCCAAGGAGAGGAATATCCGAAAGCACAACAATGAAACAGATAAATCCAACTCTCCGGAGCTACGAGTTAATACCCCAAACCCTTAAGTCAAGAAAAAGAAGATTGAGCAATGAATTAAACAACAGATCCTATATTTCCAACTCCAAAAGACACACAAAAAAAACTAACCGATAAATCTCATCAGAAAATCTCAAAACCCGAAATCAGTCACCTCAGAAAAAATGATCAAGTCCAGAAAGAAAAGTACAACCAACCCCACAAAATCGTATGATATCAAATGAATTAGAAGGCAACAGATGGAAAACCATACTCCAGAAGCACTTGAACCTCAATAACAGCATATAAATTCCAAGAAAAAGTATGAAACTCCCTAATCTCTGAGACCAGGATACGACAGAAGACATATGATTAAAACAGGCAAAAAAATCCAACTAGGATCTAATAGGAAGGAAATTACAACAACAATTACAAAAATAACCTGGAAATTTCCTAAACCCCCGAAGCAGGTAGAGTGAAAAACACAGAAAAAGAAGAGACAAAAATTAAGCAAAAGTCGATCTTAAACCATACAAACTCCCCATGCACCAAAAAAGAGGACAAAATGATCCCCGAAGTAATTATCACTCCGGAGCCAACATCTCTCAAAAAAAAAAGCTGAAGGGCAACAACCAAATGATTAAAATCAACAGAATACAGGCAAATTTCCAAACCACCCCCAACTACACTAACTATAGCAGCTCAGGAACAGTAGCATTCAAATCCAGCAAAAAAAAAACTGCAAGAAAAAGGTCAACAAATATAAGCAGACGAATCAATCTTCAATAAACTAAACCTAACGAACCCACCCCGAAATTATCAGGAAGGGATCAACACACCAATAAGAGACTCCACCCTAACATTCCAGAACCAACGAGCAATCTGGACCCCCTCCAATACCTCACGGCTACCAAAGGAAAAAGGATCCCCCAAGATAAGCCGAAAGGAAAAAACCCAGCAAATCACCGCAAATTCCAACAAAAAGAATCCGAACATAAAAGATAGGGGAGTGAAGAAGTCTACCAAAAAGCCAAGGAGAAAAGAATGTCAACAACTGTAAACGGAGCTTCCCATACCCAGTAAATATCCAAGAGAAGAAGCCGCCGACAGTTTAACTACAACCAGCAAAAATAGAAGAAAAAACACCCCCGGAAAATAAAAAGTCGAAACTCGACCTGAAATAAAAAGGCCAAAGTACGGAAAAGACCCTAATGGAAATCTACCACACTCCCCCATCGCGACAAGAAAATTCCATCTACCACAAAACAGGTTCGAAATAATAAATACAGCGCCTGAATGATCAATCCACCAAAACCTAAAAAAATCCCCCGGGAAAAATCCGTGGTTATATCCAACAACTAGAAATAAACCACAAAGACTGCTCAGCCCCTCAGTAATGCAACAATAGCAAAACCGAAGCATAAAAGGCCAAATCACACGCAGGAAGCCACCAAATTCCCGAAACAAACGAAATAGAACTCCCAAACCGAAATCGACCCCAAAGAAAAACATCATTAAAGTCCCACCCCTCGAACAATAAGCCAAGCCCCACCAAATAGTTCTCCCCCCAGGAAACACCCGACGACTCTGAATATCAAATAATAAGGACGCCCCAGATAAAGAGGAGGAGGGAAAAGCAACAATAAATACCAGCCCTGGCCACCAAAAAAAACCAAATAAGAAAAAGTCAAACATACGAAAAGTCAAAGAATAGTACCCCCTCCAAGTTAACTGATAATTCTGAACAAATCCCCCAACTCCCAACTCATGAATGAGCACCATACCTCCCCCCCGCCGACAAGACCAACTAAATCAACCACCCTATATATCTCCAGCACCCTGCGAATCCGATACCAAAAAAAGGAAAAAAGAGGAAAGCAGTCTCCGCAATCCAGGCAAATACCACACATTGACGCGACTAACCCTATAAGAGATGCCCAAGGCAGGATCCAGAATAGCAGAAGCAACAATCAAGGAACCAAGGAAAAAAAAAACCGGATAAATAAGCACGAAAATCCCCCCTAGAAACTGACCAGGGCAAGCTATCAAGTCCAGAGCCACAAAACTTCCAAAGCAAACTCAAGAAATTAGGAAGTAGATGAGGTCAGCTAATGGCAGAATACAACAACAACTCAAGAGTCAACCCCTCCCTAAACCCCCGGAAGTAACTCAAGTCAAGACCAATCTTAGGATTCCTCACTAAATTAATCCAAAGAATCAAAACCCCCGGGACCACTTCAGCAGAAATAACGAACTCATTAGAAAAAGTACACATAGCACTGTCAAAGTCTAGAAGTAAGTAGATGTGGGACTTGCGAAACCTCCACAAATACAGTAGGGCTTAATTAACTCCATCGAAATCAGGTAGGAGAAAGAAGGACAGTTAAATAAAGGTGAACAAGCAAGGATCCATGCAACTCTCTAAAGAGAACGAACGGAGATAGAAGAAACCCTCCCCCGAAATAACCAGAACGGCATCAACTCAACCAGCAGCGGAAGAGAGATCCACACCCCCCAAAGCAGACAGGACACAGACAACTGAGGCTCCAGGCAAGCAAGGGCAGAGGAAGAGTTAACTAGAGGGCAAAAAAAAGACCCACACAGCCAAAGACAAATGGAGGAGAGAAAACCGAACTTAGAAAAAACTAAGGACAACACTCTAGGGACCCACCAGATCCAGGAACAACAGGAACCCGCTGAAGTATAAAATACCATCCTGGGGGTATCATGAGTAGGAGCAGAACACGAGGCACCAGAGTTTGTGAACCGGGCCAGCTCCTCATTAATATCAGGACAATTATGACAAGCCGCCCGAAGACAAACACAAGAAAAAAAGGCAGCAGTAAGAGAAATCATTGAACGGGGAAAGAAGTCAGATAAACCCATGAGCGCGAAACATAAGTCAAAAGCTGAGGACTAGACAGGTCCGAACAGCCTCTAAAAAGGCCCAAACCTATCAACAAAGGCACAAAACCCGAAGCCAGGGAGCACCAGCCTAAAGAAGTCAGGAAATACATTTGAACCAGGCCCCTCACCACCTAAAGCGGCCCCCAAAAAAGCAGTTACCTGAAGACAACCCGAATAGTCCAGTCTTAACAACCCTTAGACGAATACCACGACAAATCATTATTAGTAAGAGGTCGAGTCTCCAGGTCCCCAACACCTCCCCAATGCAACCAAGAAAGCCGATAAATCAAACAAAATATTGAAACATGGTAAGTTATAATAGCCGAAAATCTGAAAAGAAAAAGCCAGCAGACAGAAACATACGCCTAGGATAAGGACATCAAAAAAACACCCAATAACAAAATACAAACTCTATCAAACGAATAGTTAAGAAAGGGGGAACAAGAGAGAAAAACAGCTGTCAAAAGACTCTGAACCCCAGGAATGAACACAGTCCTGGGACTCCGGACGGATTCACTTAGGCCCCAGCAGCTCCAAAGGGGGGATAGAATCCAGTAAAAAAAAAAGGGGACGTATCCAAAACCCCAACTAACCACCACAGGATGCCGCCATGTGGCAAAGAGAAGGGCAATCGACAGGAAAGAGTTAAATGAAAATAGAACTACAAGTCACGGCACCTCCCCAAAGGAGGACAAGTCAACACCCAAGCCCAGCACATGAGAATAGGGAACTAGTGCCAAGTCAAAACAGAGAAGTTAGTAGAGTCTAGTCTGGGGCCAATCAGCTGCGGCAAGTTAAGGCGGTTGAAGCTTAAGCACCCAAGGAGAAACAGGTCTCAACTGCCAGGAACAACCACGCCAAGAACGGGCCCAGAACAAAAACGACGGGCCAAATACGTCACGGCGAATCCAGCACAAGGGGAGCCCAAAGGATGGACAGGTAGCAGGAGGGACAAGCTGCAGGAGGGAATTATAGGAAGCCTAATCAGGCCCCGAAGGGCCCCCACGAGAAGAGAACAAAAGCAAAAGAGAAAACAGATAATGAAAGAGAAAGGAGGATCACAAGGCCAAAATTCTAACACGAAATGAATTATGACATAGCAGCCGCACATCCATCAGGAAGACTGAACTCATCCTCTGGAACACCAGCTTAACGGCCCAGAAAAGGACGGGACCAAACAAGAGCCCACTAACAAGCCTCATACGATATCTTCATAGTCCGAAGCACATGAAGCCGGGCCAGGATCGAGGCCCGAAGGAAAAATCTGACCCCAAGATATCTCAGCAGACCGAGAAGAACGATTAGAGGAAGCATCGGCCGGGGCGAAGGCAGAACACAAGCAGGAAACCTGCAACTAACCTACCAAAACCGCAGAACAAAGACGACTCAACGGCACATTAACACAGGGCAACATCCCGTGAGCACCGTAGCAGGAGACTTCCTCAGGGCCTTAGAAGAAGGAGGGAGGAAAAGTCTGAAATAAGTCAGGGGGGGGGGACGTAGGAAAAATCCAAAGGAAAGAGCAAAGCTATGACGGGAGCAGACGACCAAAATGCACCCCATCAGCACCCCCCCCACCCTCAAGGAGAAAACAGAAGCAGGACCTTCCAAAAAGATCAAGGACGAGATCAGGCCCAATAAGTCCGAGACTAGGGCGGGTTAGGACGAAAGGAGAAGCAAAGAACAGATAGATGAGGATTATAGGGGTGAAGGCCAAGGGCCCCGAACGGCCCCGTCTTTTAGTAAGGCAGAACTGGGAGGAATAAGAAAAGTTCAATTACGTGGGAGAAGAAAGGAAGCTTCTCATTGAGGATAGGGGGAGGACGCGAATAAAGACGCCCCAGGACCAGGAAAGAGCCATCATGTCAAATGGACAAAGAGAACGAGCCCGTGAGTCGTCAAGAATCCCGAAGGTACATTAGAGGGGCAAAGGTTAGGCAGCGACAAAGGGCCCAAAAAAATCCCGAAGGAATGATGAGAACTGGGACAGTTTAATGTCATGACCCCTCAGCCGAAACTCCCCCAGGCCGTGAAGAAATAAAAAAAGCAAAGCCAAGAAGGAACCATAGTGCTGGAGCGGGACTTTCCCCACACGCCCAAATTGTGAGAGCAAGAAGAGGACGCCTAACTAACAGGGAATCTAATCACAAGGAAGGATAAGCAGGACTAATAGGGATGTAGTTTTGATTTCGGCCGAATCCTTAGCACAACTAACAAGATAAGCATACCAAGGAGGAGCAATCTCAAGAGGAGAACAAGGAGAACCAGAAGTGGAGAGCCAAGTACGCCCCAAGGACAGACAGGAAAAATTATTCTGATCATGATCGAATCAAGGGCCAAGGAATCTTCGCAGGAAACGTCAGGATAATGGAAGGCAGAGAACAAGCTCAAGACGAGAGAATCCCCCCCAAGCGGGTAGGAGGACATTCAGGGGAAATAACAAAAAGATCAAAAGATAATCAACC